GAGGTCGAGGATGGGGCGAAGGGAGCCGTCCGGCTTTGGGACAGTGAAGTATCTGGAGAAGAAGGCTCGATGGTTTTGGGAGTCCGGGAAAGGGGAAATCGCCCCCTTTAGCAGCAAGGTGTTGACCTCTGCCAGGATTGCCGAGGATGGTTCGGTCTCGACAATCTGTCCCGTCGGAGGGAGCTCCTCGAACTCCAATGCATAGCCTTCGTCGACAATCTTCAAAAACCCATGCATCTGAGGTGATATTTTCCCATGCAGGGAGAAAGTCTGTCAGACGATCCCCGAAAGGTGTCAAGCCGGAWGGAARGATGAGGGCGGGTACCATTGGGAGGGRCATGGGAACAGCATCTGTAACGGAAAAGTAAACGGTATCGTCCGCCAGCACGTCAAATTCGACGCCTGGCCTGGTTGCCTCCCGAAGCCTGCCTGGAGCGGGAGCGCTGCTGCTGGTGTTGCCGCCTCTGTTGCTGAGGCTGTTGAGGCTGGGTCTGCAGAGGAGACTGTGCGGGACGGGTCGGGTGGCGGTACTGGATCGTACGGTACGGGACCGTATGCTTGCGCTTGTGCTGGTACCATCTGGTACGTTGCGCCTGACCCTGGTTCTCAAAGCCACACTTAGAGGCAAGGGTCTTAAACTCATGGTTTGATTTCAGCTTATCGTCCGTGCCCGCATTGAACAGTCCCAGGGCATCGAACGGTAGATCTTCAATCACCTGCCTCGACGATGTGGAGAGGCCTGAAGATCTTAGCCATGCATGCCTTCTGATTGCCACAGCATGGGCAATCATTTTTCCGGCAGTGTCCCCGGTATGCTTGGCCATCTGCATTTGGTGATGGGCCAGCGAATGAGCTTCCTGGGCCAGGGTCGACATGGCGGCACGGTCTTCTGCCGACATTCTTTGGAAGAAYGGCTCCGCTTTCTCCCAYAARATCTGTTGGTAGGCCCCCATGCACGCTCCATAGTTGGCCATGCGGGTYAGCAGTAGGGCACCAGAATAGAGCTTTCTGCCCACCGCGTCGAATCTCTTCCCCTCGCGGTCGGAGGGGGTGGAGGATTGTCGACCGAACCCTTGAGCCGCCTTCACGACCACCGAGTTAGGGTCGGGATGGTGTTTCAGCCACTCAAGCCCCTCGTCATCAGTCCTGTACCAGGACTCAATCTTTTTTGAAGTCGGTGGAATCGACGACGGGGTCTTCCAGGAGCTCTGGATCACTTCCAGCAGGTAGGGAAGGAAAGGTAGCAGAGGAGCAGGTGGGGACTCCCTTTGCACCCTTTTGAAGACCGGGTCAGTYACTGCCGTGGAAGTCTGTTTGACCTCCAGGCCCAAAGTCTCAGCCATCCGAGCCATTTGGTCCGCAAAGGCTCGGACGTTGTCAGTTGGGGATGGAGGGTCCGCTTCATAGGCGTCATGGGTGGGAGACTTCTCGATCCCCAGCGATAGTACTGATCCCGAACGCACCGATCCCGGCAGTTCGCCCTCTTCCTCCTCGTCATCAGGAGGTAGGGAATGGGGTGGTGGGGATGAAGAGGCATCCCGACTCTGCAGCTGAAGAGGCGGCGGTGGRGGAGCCTTCGAGGCCGAGGCCCGAATGGCGCTGGCCAACCTCATGGTCTGCCTACCCCTTTCCGGGGTTTGAAGTACCGACTGGGTCTCCTGTATGGCTGTCACAGTCGTCAAGGCCGCGACCGGCGGGAAGAGCTCCTGTCTGGCCGTCAGGTGCCGAGAAGGTGCCTCAATGACCGTGTCCACCGAAATCTCCGGGGACTCGGGCTGCTCAGGAGGAGGAGGAGGCAACGATACAGGCTGCGGCTCTTGGGCAGGTTGCGGTGCTGGTTGCGGTACGGTAGGCCGTACCGGTGACGATCTCGCCGAAGAAGTGGCTGAGGAGGCGGTGGTCTGTCGTCGAGAAGATGAAGAGGGCGAGGGCGGAGGTGGCATCGCCCTCTTCCTCTTAGCTGGAGGCTGTGCAGTCTTAGAGAGAGACTTGCCCGGGGTGGGCGGAACAGGAGACGGGGTGGATGCACGTCGAGCCTCCTCCTGAGATCGACGGAAGGCAATACGAACCGCCGTAGAGGATGGCGGAGTCGATGTTGACCTCGTGGAGACAGCCGACCTTATCGATGCCACAGAGCTCGTGGAGGAGTGTCGAACGCGCACGGTCTCAGTAGTGACCGAGCGCGAAGGTGGTTGCTTCGCAGGCCGTGGAGCCTTGGAAGCCATCGACACCGAAGTCTTCGAGGTCGTCGACATCGCAGCTCTTGGCCTCTTTTGCGCCACCTTCTTCTGCCGAGTTGCTGTCGAAGGCCGGGAAGCCGTGGCCGATGTCGAAGTCGAAGGCCGGGATACCGTGGCCGATGTCGATGTCGACGTCGACGCCGAAGGTACCGGGGCCAAAGCCTGTTGGTACAGGAGGTACCGAAGACGATGTTCCCGGTTCTTTCGGGACTGTGCCGTCAAGGCCTGGCAATGACGACACGTCGATGTGATGTGCGCCTCGCCGAGGCACAGAAGGCAAAGCGAATGACTGTCCGAGTCAGGGATCTTTTTCGGACATCTCGAACACTTTTTGAAGCGAGTTGTTGACATAATCCGGTCAACAACTCGATGGAGATGAGAAGAAACGCTATCCAACACTATCCAACAATATCACTAACTATCCTAACCAACACAAGAAGCACCGAAGTGAGCCGTGCGGCGGAAAGAAAGGAATTGGAGTGGCGGCGCGGGGCGCCCTTTTATCCCCTGCCGGGGCTGGGCGGGGTTACCGCCAAAACTTTAAAAGTTTCAAAAGTAGAAGTTTTCCGTTGGAGCCCGCGCAGGCGCAGACTCTCCACAAGTGTGCATTCGCAGAGCCCACGAAGAAAAAATACAGCATATATAAAACAATATAAACATTTAACAGCATTAAAACACATCACTACATATAATAAAACTTCCCTCTGCTTTCATAAGAACTAGTAACTTGCTTTTAAAAATTAATCCTAAAATACTAAGAAGCCTTATTTCATTGGCCTATGAGACCAACTCACCAGGTTCTTTTGGGTCATGGAGGGCATCTGTATCCACCTCCTCCCCTTCAAAGTGGAGCTCCCTCGTGTCGAGGCTTTCGATTATGTTACTCATGTCATCCGCTATTTTCCTCAGTATCGAGGTGTTCACTTTCTTTTCATTGCTGAGAGACATCGTAAATGTTCACACTCACGAACAGGGGGCTGTTGGAAAGAAGAAATGTGAATTGAGCATCATTGGCAATTCACTTGTGTTTTATTTATTTAACATATTCTATACCAACTTTTCAGGCAAAACCTTACCAGTGTAGTTCATGACTGAAGAATTTTAAAGAATAAATAAAACAAAGTTACCTAAAATCGCATAAAACATTTATAACATAAAACATTTATAACAGCTATAATGATAAATTCACAGTATAAAAGATGGTCCAATAGTTAAAGATCTTCAGTATGATGCTTTGACCAAGGAATCTGTCTGCACTGCGGAGGAAAACAGTAATTGAATAATTTTGGGTAGCTCTTCCTGGGTTGTTATATGAAGAAGTCTACTTTTCAGGATTGGAAACAAATTAGAGTAAATGAACTAAGAGAAAAATGGATGGAAGAAAAGGAAGGGAGGGAGGGAGAATGGATAGATGCTTTGTTCACCTGAGGATTACCAGATATATTCCATTTAGCATATTACAGTTGCTGGAACAGGATATCGAAACTGAAACCAAGATCAGAACCCTGAAGTGTGGCAACAATAGACTTATCATTTTGATGACAACCAGTAGCAAGTGACACACAGATCACATCTGAGAAGCATTAGATACGAAGCAAATAGAGAAGAGAATGCCTATAGTTTCTGCCGTCCTCTCAAGCACCTTCCATGTACTGTCCTACTGGGTGCAAATTTTTCAAGTTTGCTAAGGGGTAGAGAAAAGAGGGAGGTTGTCTGCAAATAAGAATTCTGATCCCCAGTTAAATTCCCTTCCAGTCTACCAAAGTGCAGAATTACAGTAACTTAAAACCTGAGCAGAGTTGCTGGAAAATATAGTGTAGGTTTTAGAAAAAAAGGGGCAAGCACTGATACAGCGAGAATTCAAACAACAAATACGGTGAGATCTTGATATCCACTGTGGTTTGGTTCCAGGACTTCTGGTAAACACCCAAATATGTGGATGGTCAAGCCTCATTATATACAATGATGAAGTAAAATTGTGTCCCATATATAAAATGGCAAAATCAAGGTTTACATCTTATATTTTTTGAAATTTTTTTCAAGCTATGGATAGTTGTATCTGTTATATGAGTTTTGAGTTAGACTATTTTCAGTGTCTGATTACTCCAATACTAAAAATATGGGCACTGCAGGAAATGGGGAAGAAAAGTTAGTGGTAGCCAATACCTTTTCTTTGCCCTCCCATAAGGTAGAACTGATTAAAACTTTCGACTAAAAGCAACTTGTTTTTCCAATACCTTCCTTCCTACTTTCATCTGCTTCTTCCTGTCACAGCCATAACTTTAACAGGTCTCATTATACTGGACTACTGCACCAGCACATTTCTGTCCAACTTGGATATTTTCACAGATACATGTTCTGTTCAAAATACAGACTGTGGTCATGTCGAAAAGGATGGGGATAACTGCAGAAATTGGAAGTAACTAATTACAGATAATTAGCTCCTGCTCTTATAATGGTATTATGGTTATAACACCTGTTGTTAATGGCTGTCAGGTCAACTCCGGGTTACAGAAAATGGGAGTTTCCTCTAAGATATGATGCATGTTATAACTGATTTTTTAAAGAAAAGGAATCACCTCATTCTATTATTGTTCTCTTCTCTTGTTGACAAACGGCTTTGTGCTATCTAAAATGTGAAAGCCTTGAGTCTTTATAAATGTTTAATTAACAACAAAGTGCCGTGAAAGCCTTCGACAACAACAAAGTACTTTGTCATTTTGGGAAGGAGCATAATTGGAGAATTATTTCTCTCTAAAATATTCAGAAGTGGCAGCCCAATCCTTTCTCTCCTCAACATGCTGAGTATTTTAAAAGAATGTGCTCTTTTAAAAAAAGGACTCACTATGTACTCTTCAGTTCAGACTGAGCGCTTATATATGTTATACTTAGATGCAAAATGTAAAGCATGCAATATACTGGGAAAGTCAAGTTTTATGCTTTGGGAGGGGCCTGTCTTCTCAAGGACCTTTCTAAAGGTAAAGGTTTCCCTTGACATTAAGTCTAGTCATGTCCAACTCAGGGAGGGTTGTGCTCATCTCCATTTCTAAGCTGTCGACCAGCATGACTGTATCGAGCGCTGTTACCTTCCCATCAGAGCAGTACCTACTGATCTACTCACATTTGCATGTTTTCAAATTGCTAGGTTGGCAGAAGCTGAGGCTAATAGCAGGAGCTCACCCTGCTTCTTGGATTCGACCCACTGCTCTTTCAGTCAGCAGGTTCGGCAGCTCAGCAGTTTAACCCTCTGTGTCAGCGGGGGCTCCCAAGGATCTTTCTAGGTATAGTCAAACACCAGCTCATATTCAACATCATCTACTTAAAAGTAACTTCCCCATTCCCAACAATAACCATCTACTTTACTGTCATCATTCACAATAAGAGGAGAAGGTCTGTTGTGCTACTGATTAGAATGTGGGGAAATGATGTTTCCATTTCACTTCCACTCAGAAAGGTCTGCTGATCTTTAGTGGAATGATGGACATGGAGACATCATCCTCTCGCACCTTGTTTACCAAGCAGAACAGACCCCTTCTGTCAACACTAGCTGATGCCTGCTAAAGTATGTTTGGGAAGATATTTACACTTGCAACAACAGAGCTACAATTGTGATTGTGTAAGGATAGTGAAAACAGAGCAGCAAAAGATTCATAACTTATGAATCTGTAACTGAAATACAGAATGACAAATATCATATACTTCTACAGTTCAAGTACATCTCCTGTGAAATGTATGAAAAGCCACGTAATTATCTCTGGGTGTGCTTTTGGAACAATATCTGATTGCCATTTTGTGTGTATCATTTCTCCTAAATCCAGGCTGACTTGTGACTTGTTCCATTCTCCTTGTTTACGTCATCTGGGTGTTTCCCCCCACACCTCATCTTAACCACAGTTGTATTTGACAAAGTCTGCTTTGATCCCCTCTCTTGTTGCTCAGGATATGACCAAGCAGTGGACTCCAAAATCATCCCATCCAACTTTGAAACCTATCCAATCCACATAGCCATGATAATATGTTTGGGAATGAACTAGAACTAGAAGTAGCAGCTATAACTGTTAGTTATAGGAATAGTAGGCAGCCTGTGAAGTCTCTCTATGCAGCAATATCCCTACAGGCAAGCAGAGCCATTTTTTATCAACCATAAGGGTTAGTTCCCTTTACTGTTTGTACTTCAAACTTCTAGGTGTCTTCGCTAATTCACACATCCCAGATTGCATGAAGGGTCACTTCAATTTGTATAGTGCCAGAGGTCAGTGAAGGGAACATCACAGAAACTTCTCCTAGATTGTATGTTAATTATGGCACACTCATCTTCAGTGCAGCCCCCATATCCATGGTATATGCTTCTGGGCTTTGTATGGATGCACAAAACTATGGATAATAGCAAACCCTATTGAAATGAAGGTCTTCTGGCCCAAGAATTGCAATGGGGGACCTAGAAAATGCCCAGAGAAGACATATTTTTGGACATGAATAATTAAAACAATGGATACTGCTTCCAATAAGAATGGGGTTGTACTGCACACTTAAATGGCTTATTACTAGCTATTGGTAAGTCTATGTACATTGCAAGAAAAGATACATGTGGATCTAATGAATATGTTAAAAAACCACGACATGCTAGATCCAGCACATCAGCCACTTTGGAACTCCATATATTTATAGTGAATTCTCAGAATGTCAAATCTTTGGCATCTTAAACAGCACCTTGGCAGCTAAACCAACATTATCTGCTGGTGATCATGAGAGGGACTGTGTAGTTGGTCTCAGTTCTGCTCAAGGGCTTCTTACCGACACCTGGAATTTTGTATTAAAGAAACATTTGATGTGACCCAAAATGTTTTGCCTCCACTGTGGGTCTCATTTTTTGACTAAAAGTTTAATGCAGGTGTCTAGACTTCTCTTGAAAACCTCACACAGTAATATTCTAACTGGTCGCTAATGTTTGGTCCTTCAGTTATTTTAGATTGCAACTAACAGACATCTTAGTCTATATGGTCCACTTTCAGGGACTCTAAGAATTGGAGACTAAAACATATGGAAAACCAAAGGATGAGCCACATTGTTTTTAAAAATAGAAGCAGCCTTGGGCACAAGGCCAGGTTCCTAGCTTCAGTATCAGTATATGGATTGTGGGATGCTAACTAGTATGATTTTTCCGAATGAAACAGAGAGTGTTTGGGGACTGGGACATCCGTAGGGATACCAAGGTGCTTGTTTAAAGCTATTGTCCTCCCAACCCTGCTATACGGCTGTGAGACGTGGACTGTCTACCGGATGTCACATGCAACTCCTGGAACAATTCCATCAGCGTTGCCTCTGAAAAATCCTGCAAATCTCTTGGGAAGACAAGTGGACAAATGTCAGCATGCTGGAAGAAGCAAAGACCACCAGCATTGAAGCAATGGTCCTCCGCCATCAACTCCGCTGGACCGGCCACGTTGTCCGGATGCCCGACCACCGTCTCCCAAAGCAGTTGCTCTACTCCGAACTCAAGAACGGAAAACGGAATGTTGGTGGACAGGAAAAGAGATTTAAAGATGGGCTCAAAGCCAACCTTAAAAACTCTGGCATAGACACTGAGAACTGGGAAGCCCTGGCCCTTGACCGCTCTAGCTGGAGGTCAGCTGTGACCAGCAGTGCTGCAGAATTTGAAGAGGCACGAATGGAGGGCGAAAGGGAGAAGCGTGCCAAGAGGAAGGTGCATCAAGCCAACCCCGACTGAGACCGCCTTCCACCTGGAAACCAATGCCCTCACTGCGGAAGAAGATGCAGAGCAAGAATAGGGCTCCACAGCCACATACGGACCCACAAGAACACTGGAAGACAATCATCCTCGGAAAATGAGGGATCGCCTAAGTAAGTAAAAGTAAAAAGGGGTGGGGACTAAAGAAATGAGTATTTCCATGTTAAAACCCCACCCCAATCTTTCACTAAGGGGTTGAATGATAAACAAGTATTCAAAGGAAGCAAT